ATGGATGGATGGATGGATGGATGGATGGATGGATGGATGGATGGATGGATGGATGGATGGATGGGATCGGCTAGCACATCAGACTCATTTTTAGTATCATCTTTATTCTTAGCCATTTTACTTTCCCAATCACACCGGATTTGCCATAGGAGCTGGTGTTGGTCCTCGATACGTTATCCTTGAGATACATTATGACAACCCACAAAGGAAATCAGGTTTGTGAAAACACATAAAGATTTTACAGACTATCTCTTACTAGCCTTTCTTAATCTTGTTCCATGCATACCGCTAGTTCAAAAATTAAAGGATTAAAGGTTGTCGGCAGGGACGGCGGAACCGGGGGGGCCGGGGGGTCACGGGTCCTCCCACGAATTTTTTTAGGGGAGGCTGCCCCCCCACAAAATATTGGTTGTCATTCGTAGTTTTACGGCGCATGCGTCTGTAATCAAACAAAACAGCGGTCATTATCACATAGCATTAAAAATAATATTTCAGTGCCCCCCCCTCCCCCCCGAAAGATTTTCAGCCTACGCCGCCCCTGGTCGAAGCCAAAGGCGATAGACGATAGGTACCAGCTTAATAGGAATGATCACAGTGTTTTAATAGGTCATCCACTACAAGCAATATTGGACATCTTAAGACTAACCTCCGTGTTTTTGACGAAAACAAGAAACAGCAAAGTCATTCAAGCTCATTAATTATTCTTTGATCTTGAAATTAGCTGAAGAAATAGAAAACGCGCGCGCGTGCTGTGTGCTGTCATAAAGCACGCGGGGGTTGGCAGAAAACGAGAGAAGTGTTAGGAAAAGCACGACGCATAGCGGTGTGCTTCTGGACACTTCTCGAGTGCTCTGCCAATCCCCAAGTGCTTTATAACTGCACACAGCACAGCAAGCAAGTTTTTTTATTTCTTTTATAAAATACAAATTACAATAATAGATAGGAATGACGCAACGGAAAGTGCGCGCGCGTGCAATGTGCTCTCATAAAGCACGCGCTCCAAACCAATCAGAGCGCGACATTCATAATAGTTCTTTTATAATATCTAATATCGCTTTATATATCGCCTTTGCCCATTGTCTATTTTCTTTGGCACTGAAAAGGTTTTTTTATTTTCGTATGCATATAGTTTAGATTTTAGTGTATCATAATGATTTCTCCACAAAAACCTAACCCCATCAGAGGATACACACATTAAGGCCCCGTCCACACGTATCCGGAAATTTTTGTATCCGCAAATTATTTTTTGCGGATATGAAAATGTTTGCGTCCACACGCAGCGTTATCGAATCGTTTTCACCGTCCACATGTATCCGTTTTCGTAAAAGTTGCGGATAGCTAGGGAATCCAAAAATTTGCGGATACATGTGGACGGGGCCTAAGTGTACTAGTTCGAACCTGTAGAAATTGGTTAACAGCCAATATTTATTTTAAATTTTTGAACAGGGATCAAAGATAGTTCTGGACTTCGTTTCTACTACACTGATTCGCTTCGCCAGTACGATGCAGGAATATTATGGGCTGGTTGGAATGTTGAATTTGCTATGATGATTCCGCCATATCAACAACAATGGATGACGACTGGTTATTGTAGTGGCATGTGTACAAAAATTGTAAGTTATAGAAAAGAATATCAAAAACATTTACAAATTTAGTTTTTTAAACCATGTTTTTGATAGAATTCTGGAGCTTAAAATGATCTTGTTTAATCCTAATACCTTGCATACACTTATAAATATGATATAGGCTTTAAAGAGGGGAATGTGTTAGAATTTGTGCAGATTCGGAAATACTCACAATCGTGATTGGCTAATTGGTATAACATAAATAAACATAAAATGCGTAATGTATATTAAAGTGCAAATGAACCCTTCGACAATACTTTCAGTACTGATTCTACATAAAGTAAATAGTTGAATGGTAAAATATTTCTTGATTT